ACAAGTAATACAAGTATTATACAAGTAATTCCATTGAAAATAGGCACACACATATTTAAAATATTCAATAACTGTGTCACATAGATCTAAATTCAGTGAAAAAAAAATCATGTAACAAATGATGAAGCACAGTACGTCTGAAGTTGGAAAAAAGATTGTGTTTTAAGCACCAGCGGTAGAGTTAATAAGCATAAACTTTTTTCCTAAAAAAAAAAAATTCACGGTATAGTAAAAATGTTCCAGTCACAATCCATCAGATTCCATTACTTTTATTTAAGTTCAGTACTGACTTCCTTTGAAGAAAGTTTCTTTGTTTTTATTGAAGATTGTAGTCGGCTTTCTTTGATAAAGGGTGCATGCAGAAGTCACTGCTAAATGACAGCTTTGGAGAAACAAACAAATGCCTGTTTTTCAGTGTGGCAGCAACATCAAAAAAATTGGTTTGCATGATTCAGACTGATTTTTTCTCCCATTTGCTTAGGATATTTTAATAACAATCAGTGCTTCAAAGGTAATGTTTTTTTTTAAATTTCAGCTATTTTATCTGCGTACATTTATTTAAAAAATGATTTGGCTTCATATGATCAATTGTAGTTACTGTTCCTCCCTGCCTATTGAATAGACAAGTGAATGCTTGTTTTCTGGGTTGGTTTATTTTGGGGGATGGGGTTATTTATGGTAGTAGGGTGATGCTGCCTAACATGCATGCTTCAGATATTTATAGAAAGGGTCAGTTGACAATAGAGACACAGGTGTTCTCGTCAGATGACAGGGATTACTAGAAAAAATGTGAATGTTCTGAAGGATTTAATTCTGAGTGAAAAGATGTATTTTACTTACTATCCACATACAAATGTCAGCCTATGTAAATAAATTAATTACTAGCAAGCAACTGAAAATCTTAGGAAAGATTGATTATGAGATAATGCCTTGTCCAGTTGATTTCCACTACCAGAAAATGTAGATTTGAAAAAAGCAGATATCACAAAACATAGTACTCATGCTAGATATCAACATAAGTGGATTATGATATAACACTGCACTGTTAAGATGGATTGTCAATATGGATAAAGAATTTGTTTATGTAACAATAAATAAATTTCAATGCATTTTTTATCAACTTTATGGCTTCCATTTCATGGGGCCTATGAATTTCTCCCCTCCAAACCAATGATTGTATATACAAGTTTAAACAGCCAACAATGTTGCCAATAAAAAAAAATCAGCAGATGGTTTATTTTGTCACCAATAAGGAAACAAATTGCAATTTGCGACACTGGCGAAGCCCTACGCAATTTCTAAATAACTTTTTACATGTTATTTTTCATACTTTTAAGAAGAAAACACTATTTTTTCATGCATGAGAAAAATACCTATAAAATTTTAGTAGCCACACTACAGTCATCTCGTATTATTCATATGGGATCTCTTCCTTAAATTGATAATAAACTTTTTTTGTACTTTTAATTTTTTTTTGGTGTAAAAGAAAGATACATGTATATGAAATTTTGGGAGCCATACTATGACCATTATATATGAATTGTGTTATAATGGAGCATGCTGCGGGGTCACACTGTGTGTGTATATATATATATATATATATATATATATATATATATATATATATATATATATATATATATATATATATATATATATATATATAACATTTGTTTTCTTTAATGGAGAATTTGTTTTTCATTTTAGTTGCTAGGTCACCTTCTCATAGTTGCAAAGAAAATGGCAGAAAAGGAGAAGTTGTTGGATGGTTACAGACTGGGTAAGATTATACAACCAGCAATATATAATTCCTATTCTACCATTGATGTATTCAGATTGGTCTGATACATGTCTGTATCTTATGCATTTGTTGGCCTAGTACTTTCAGTATTCCTTCTCTTATATAAATATGGCCTCATCTGACATTCATTAGCTGGTCTGGACCCTTTTGTCTAGTGGTATGTGCACCCAGTTGTGAGATGGATGAACTGAGTTCAATTCCTGACCGAGGCAATTAGACTTTGTATCTTTCCCTGTTACATATGGTGGCACATGCAGCTCTGAGTAGCTAGTGAATAGTTGGGTATGGGTCTGGACCACTATTAGGTAAATCTGGGTGACAGTCAATGATGAATGTGAAGGTAAGAGTATCAGTCTATGCATATGATCAATGATGAATGTCAAGGTAAGGGTGTCAGTCTAGGCTAATGATCATTGTTGAATGTGAAGGTAAGGGAAAAGAGTGTATCAGTCTAGGCATATGTTCAGTGATAAATGTGATGGTAATGGAATGAGTGTATCAGTGTAGGCATATGATCAATGATAATTGTGATGGTAAGGAAAAGAGTGTATCAGTCTAAGCATATGATCATTGTTGAATGTGAAGGTAAGGGAATGAGTGTATCAGTGTAGGCATATGATCAATGATAAATGTGATGGTAAGGAAAAGAGTGTATCAGTCTATGCATATGATCATTGTTGAATGTGAAGGTAAGGGAAAAGAGTGTATCAGTCTAGGCATATGTTCAGTGATAAATGTGATGGTCATGGAATGAGTGTATCAGTGTAGGCATATGTTCAATGATAAATATGATGGTAAGGGAATGAGTGTATCAGTGTAGGCATATGTTCAATGATAAATGTGATAGTTGATGTTAATCATAGCTCTTAATTTCTTACTTTTCTAGTCACTTTCATCTTAGGTAAAATGTAATTTCAGACCTTACCATCTTTACACCATGTACTTACAGATTTTTGTCTTTCTTACAGTCCATTTTTTTACTTAATGAGTAAAATAATCATTATTGGTGTATAGTATATTTAAGATATTGGTACTGATAGGTCAAAACTTGAATGGCAGCTGACATGTCTGATTGCTGCCACATATCCAAGCCTTTGTAAGCATCTTCGATTTTTTTTTCTATGATGTAAATGTATATACAAAACTACATATGTGTTTTGTTTTGATTGGGCAGAAAAAGTTTGATATGGCATATGAATGTAGAGGTCATCAGACCAAGATGCATGTTTCTACATTGTATCAAACAAGTTTTTACCCCAGCTCAGAACAAAACCCTTAAGCATTTATATATTTATTACAGATCCCCTTTTTATTCACACGTTCTTCTAAAAAAAGTTTTTATGTATACTTTTAGAAAATGAATTAGGCATCTGGCAGTTTTTTTTATCCCACAAATCACACAATTGTGTGACTTGATGTTTATTGCAATTCCAATCTGCTGTTAGTTTGAGGCTACATTGAAGATATTGGGAAGCAGGCTGCACCCAAATTACCTCTCCAACTTTCCCAGTTTTTGATATTCTTATTCATATCTTCATTTCCAGTGATGAGATGACCATAGGAAAAATAAAACAAGTTCCAGTAAACTGCAGTCATTTTAACTGCAACAGCCATAAGTTAATGACAGCAGTCTTCTCAGCCAAAAAGCTGTGTTAGAGGAACCCAGTTTCTCCTACTGTGAGCCTCTAAACAAATAGCAATGATTCATAGCCCCTGCTGACAGTATCCCAGTAGGCACCACATTCTTTCACTTTCAGAAGACTTGGATAGATCTGTTCCCAAACAATGAATGAGTAGTCCAAGTTATTTCTGTGGGATTTAGAATTTTATTAATTCATGACCTTCCCCTTTCAGCTTCCTGGCCAGAGAAGGCATTCATTTTTGGACTAAGTGGATACTGGAAATTATTCATTAGCCCTTCTTAACCTTACCTCAGTTCGAATAGAGACAACTTTGTGATAAGAATTTGTTAGTGGAGAAGCATGTTTGCAGTTGTTACTGTCGTATACATGAAGCCTCTCAGATATCGTTCAGTATAGTGTCAGGAATTTAATATAGCAAGTTTTAGTGATTTATTGTGAAAGGGGACATGACTCTAAAAGTGGTTATCATAAAATGAAAAGCATACCAGTCTTTTTTACTTTTTCATTCTCTTGATTGGTTTCAAAATATATACATGTTGATGGTTTTGAAGTTTTATTTTGATAGCAGTGGTGAGAAAGTACGTTCTTGACTCTGAGCATAACCAGATAATGCTTTTCTGCTAAAAGAGTTCTTATGATATCAGTTTGGTTCAGAATGAAAATGGTTCTGATGTAACCACAAAATTTGGCCACCTCAGTGGCCTTCTTGAACAGTTTTGTTACCACTATATCTACTGAAGAAATTATTATATTGACTTAGGGTTTTCACTAAAATAATTCTTTAGATCTTGTAAATGAAAATAGCAGCAACTTGACATTAAATATGGCCATGCTTGTGAACATGGAACAGATGGTCATATTGTCACAGAGTTTTAACTAAAGACTTGTTACAATATCTAATTTGTCCAGAATTGAATTCGTGCTGATATAACACCCAACTTGGCCACCACAGTGTCCATTTTAAAACTTTTTTTTATTGCAACTCTTCCAGAAGTGATGGTTGTATCAGCAAGGGGTTTTCATTGAAAGACATGATGTCTTGTTGGTCCAAAGTGAAATGGTCAATGAAATTTTGCTGCTATACTTTTGGTCTAAAATAAACACTGTACTGATCTAATGTCCAAAAAATCTTTTTATTAGTATTTCTGCTTAACAAACTGTCATTGTTTAAGTTAAAGATCTGATATGGTGTCTTGTTGGCCTGGAATGAAAATTGTGCCATTCTGACTTAAGGTATGGCCGCTGTGGTAACCTTCTTGAAAATATAGTTATCATTACTTTTCCTGAATTGATATTTATATTGACATGGAGTTTTTTTAGCTTGCATAGTTGAATTACCTTGTTTTTACTGTTGGGATTTAGCTTTGCAGAGAATCTGGTGGTGATTGCCAAGATTGCTACCATCATGGCCTATGGTTTATAGCCGGCTTAGACCAGAAGTTTTCCATTGGTAAGGAAATGGCATATGATTTTCCTTGTTCTCTAAGATACAGCAATTATCAGTTTCACACTTATTCTTTGGCAGAGCTACCTTTTAGTTGGCTAAATTAGTAACCGCTCCGGTGGCCTATTGGTTAGAGCGTCTACCTCGAATGCGGAAGGTCGTGGGTTCGATGCCCGGTTGAGTCATACCAAAGACTAACAAAAATGGTACTAACAGCTGCCTCGCTTGATGCTCTGCATTAAGAGGTTAGTGTTAAAACTGGTCAGCCTGGTGTCAGGATAATGTGAGTGGGTGGGACATCATGCTACATGTCTGTGGCATGATGCCCCAGTGCTAGACATCACTATAAACTGCCACACTGCAGACATCGTAGCGATATGACTGAAAAATTGTTAAAAGCTACGTTAAAAATTATGAACACATTATAAACACCAAGCTAAAATAGTTCATTCTGTAACATATGCTCTTATCCTTTTGATCTTGGGTCAAGGGAATCAGAAAATTTGCATTAAGGTTTTGGTTAAAGTTGTTTCATTGCTTATACTTGTCATTCCCTTGAATGGCTTTTGTTTGGATGAATCATTATGAAACTAAGATTTTTATTTCTGTAACATGTTTGCACAAACTTTTGACCTTGGAGTTAAAGTGACATGTTTTGCAGCAGAGATTTGATTGTGATATCAGGCTCTAGCCTGATTTTTATTGTAAATTATAATTTCCATAAAATACTGACTTGATTATACTGTGATTTCAGATCAGCTCTCTCACACCTATCCTCAGATGCAAGCTTTGTCGAAGTATTCTCAAGCTTGAACTGATAAGCACTAGGTTTCCAGGCAGCCATTTAGCTGGAAAAGTTATCATAATAATATTCCAGAAGAGTTTTCTCCCCTAGATACTAACTTCATAAACTATAGAGATGGGAACATCACATTTTGTCATCTGTGTGGGATGACTTGATTTCTGAAATAGCTTTTGGAGAAACATAATTTGAAATAAAAATTTACTTTCAGTGATCAATAATGGAAGACATGGGGCCCAGTCTGTGCATCATCTACATATCCATGTCATTGGAGGACGACAGATGAAATGGCCTCCAGGCTGAATTCCAAAGTTTTTATTTTCCAAATTAAAATGTCATGGGTTGCATTCAGCAATAAAAGTGTTATTATAGTGAAACCCGAATGTCTGGTCAGTTGCCTCTATTAGATTGCATCTGTTAGAGTGTGTATTTGAAATGAAGGAGGTAGCTTAACATTTGAAACCATGTAAAATGTTTTTTTTTTCCTCACATAATACCATACAGGCTTGCACATGAAATGGATTCAGCATCAGACAACATAGATCTTGATCTGCCATTGCATAAAGCACCTGCTTGTTTGTTCTACTGATTGCTTCTTACAAACTGTATGGACCTATCTATGCTGGTACATTATGTGATGGCAGATCTGGGTCTATGAAGTTAAGGTATACATGGAAGTTTGCAGAAGGATCTGAGTCACAGGTGAATATCAAAAGTTTGCAAAAGAAAGTATTGAAACAAGTTCAGAACAAAAGATTATTAATACAGAATATTGTCTACCTTGAAAACTATAACACTCATTCAGAAATTTGATTCTGCAATGATTTAACAGTTTCTATATGAAGATAGTTTTTACTTGTCTATCAATGCAGTGTACAGTTAAGGCACTAGAAACATTTTTTTACACTTGTATGAAGGCCTGTTTTTGTCTGCCATTTCATAAATTTATAACAATTCAGTTGAAAATAATGAATTTTGGCCTATATAGTGATATGCATATTTCTAGTCATACTAATTGCAGCCCAAGTGAATTTTCTGGATAAAAATTACAATGTAATAATTATTTACTCAATTACAAGTACAATGTAACTTGCCATACAGGACACTTACAAGTAAAATGTAACTTGCCATAAAGGACACTTACAACTAAAATGTAACCTACCATAAAGGACACTATCATGACTAAACAATCTTATTTTTATGGACAAGTATTTTTATATATAGTTGATATATAAAGATAAACTAAAGAATAGAGGTTTTAAAATGCCCAAGTCTGCAATAACATAATGCACTGATAGTTTTGTTCTGTGCAGTTATTTAGGACTAATCAGTAGAACAAACATATACCCCAATCTGCTGGCACATGATATGCTTATATGTATGATTCCATATGAATATCATATTTGATGTTGTGAAACACTCTTTAAAGGTGTAATAGAATGTTGTGTTTGCAGATGAACATCAAATATCCTTTATTTTGTTTTGTGTCTACCATGTCAATATGAAATCTTTAAGATGGTATATCTGGAGAACATGTTATCCTTTGTGACAATTTAAAAAACAGAATATGATATTTAGTACATCCATAATGTACAAGTTCTGATTTTAGGTCCATGTATCTAACAGTAATTGTCATTTAGTGTACAAGTCCACATTTTTTTTAATTAGCATAAACAATCATTGAATATATGATGCAACAGCAATTAGCACTGTTTTTTTCAGCATTCAGATTTTAAATATACTTTTAGAATTTGCTACTTGTATCAGTGAATTCTTCATCAATTAGAATTGCTGCTTATATCAATGAATTATTTATCTATTAGAATTGGCAGTTTGTATCAATGAATTCTTCATGTTTTAGAACATCCAAAGCATGTGCACATTTGTTTGCAGGAAAGTTAATATATCTGACAGAAGAATGGTTATTAATGAGACAATATGCAAAAGACTAATATTAAATATTGAACAGCTTTATATTAAATGTCACCTCGGAGCTGTTCTATTAAAATGCTATCTCTGGGCTATTAAATTTAAGACGAGTTACCAGACTATTTATCTGAAACCTATCCATTGAAATTTGTCAGATCTTTTTTTAATGGGGAATTTATTCACTTTCTTCATAGTCTGTCCAACTATGCAATCTGTCTCTTCTAGTTGTCTAGGCCTTGTCCTTTTCAATTACCCTACTGACAGAACTTTAATGTCAGTAAATTTTGAAATGATGTTGTCTCATGCATCAAAACTACTAGGTCACTCTGACTTACACATACGTTCCAGGCTTTATTCAAATTTATTAAAACCTTTTGTTGTAGCTCAAACTCTAGTGCCTTTCTATTAATGTGCTACATTTTCGGATAAAGTTTTATATTACATTTCAATTTAGTATCTGCTTCCTACTTTCTAAGATTTAATCAACATATATAAAACTCATACAGGCATTTTCCATATCCTGGTTGCAACTGTAATGTTGCCATTAGTATTGACCTCTAGACATTAAATGCTACCATTACTATTGCTGGTACTCTTTACATCAAATGTTACCATTACTATCATACTCCAGACATTAAATGTTACCATTACTATTGCTGGTACTCTTTGCATCAAATGTTACCATTACTATTGTACTCCAGAAATTAAATGTTACCATTACTATTGCTGGTACTCTTGATATCAAATGTGACCATTATTATTGCTGGTACTCTTTACATCAAATGTTACCATTATTATTGCTGGTACTCTTTACATCAAATGTTACCATTATTGCTGGTACTCTTTACATCAAATGTTAACATTACTATTGCTAGTACACTTGACATTAAAAGTTACCATTACTATTGTACTCTTGACATTAAATGTAACCACTACTATAGATAGTACTCTAGACAATAAATGTTACCATTATTATTATACTCTAGACAGTAAATATTACCATTACTATGGCTGGTACTTTTAACAGTAAATGTTACCATTAATATAGCTGGTATTTTAGACATTAAATTTTAGCATTACTATTGCTGGTACTCTAAACATTAAATGTTACCATTACTATTTTACTCTTTATATTAGATGCAACCATTAATCTTGCTAACACTTTGGACATTAAAAGTTATGATTACTCTTACTTGTACTCTTGATGTTATTCATTAGACATTCCATTGAAATGAAGGTTTAGTGCACACATTTTGTTACTGCATGCAAAGATTTATTTGACTTTCCTTTAACTCTGTTCATCTGTCTTTCCATTCCAGACTGAAATTTCCATATTACAAACTTTGATTTGCTGGTACATCATGGAATGTAGGTGTCATACTCCAAAACCGGTTGCCATGTTGTACATTTTAGGATTTACTCAAACTTGTTTAAAAATATCTGAGCTCTAATTACATTACCTACTTTTGGGGCCCCGAGTGGCCGAGTGGTCTAAAGCGCTGTCCGTTACGGATCACTGCCATCTCACCTCTGTTTGCGTGTGTTCGAGTCTAGGATTCGGCTAATGTAGATATGTGAGAAAGCTTGCCAGTAGCTTCTGGTGGGTCGGTGGTTCTTTCCAGTGATTTCCCGGTTTCTTCCTCCACCATTAATACTGGCCGCCATGAATAGCCTATCGTGTGCTGAAAAATGGCGTTAAGCCCAACAACAAACAAACAAACAAAACCTACTTTTTTGCCATCAATTGCACAATGCAGCTGAATCTTGGACAAAACTTAGGATACAACATTGAGAGGAGGTCACAGCAACCCAGTTTTGGGTGTTTGAACATAGCTTTGATCCAAAGATGCACCATATTTTCATAGATTGAAGGCAATAGGTGAATCTAAGCACGATTTTTAATCAGTGTCCAGCTGATCTTGTCAAGTATAACACAATTATCCTGGTTTTGTGTGATATTTCAAATGTGTATGTAACCTCTTTTGTTTCCACTGGGTCAATCAGTCCCAATTCTGATGACTCATTAATTTTGCAGATTCAGATGGTTATCAGACTTGTACCAGATCATATTGGTATAAGTCACATATCAAGCTTTGTCAAAGTCTGAAAGCTATTCCATTTCAAATGATGCACCAGGGATGGATGCTGTTGGTGATTTATATTCTGAGACAGAAATTATTAATTTATCTGATGTTTGTTGGTTTCATTGTTCTGTCCTTTTTAGCAGAATTACTCACTTATGAAAAATTGCTTAAGGAATGTCTGCAAGCTGATATCTTGTCATAAAAATGAAAATGCACCATCTTCTAATGAGCAATGCTATTTCTAACAAGAAAACTAGGAACAGCCCATTATACATCTAAACAGTGTTTACTGATACTCTATATTTGCAATAGTGAGACATTGTTGACTCTTAATGGTAATAACCAATAGGTCAAGGTATGTGGTCTTGAACTAAACTTACTGTTCAGAAATCACTACTGTTTTATTAGACTTACCATGGCCATGACTTTTATACCACATAATCTTCACCATATTGCACTCCAGTCTACATAATTTGATCAGGGAATTTTTTGTACAATAATTTATTGTGCAAAAAAAATTTTCTTTGAGTGTCAATGACTCTGATCTTTGACCTTTTCACTCCCAAATCAATAGGTCTCTTTATGACCTTAGTTCAAGTCCTTAACAAAATTTGGTCAAGGTATGTGGTCTTAAATTATTATGCAAAAACCATTTTTGTTACTTGTTTCATACAGTAATCTTGGCCTTTGACCTTTTTGAATGCAAAATTGATAGGTCCCATTCTTACCCAAAGAGAAGCCATCCACAAACTTTGGCAATGGTACATTGTGGAAAAACTTAAAGGTTTTGTCAGCTCATATTTTGCTTTAATTACATTAATATTTGACTAGTACATTACTTTTGCTTTAATTACATTAATATTTGACTAGTACATTACTTTTGCTTTAATTACATTAATATTTGACAATACATTACTTTTGCTTTAATTACATTAATATTTGACTAGTACATTACTTTTGCTTTAATGACATTAATATTTAACTTGTACATTACTTTTGCTTTAATTACATTAATATTTGACTAGTACATCACTTTTACTTTAATTACATTAATATTTGACTAGTACATTACTTTTGCTTTAATTACATTAATATTTGACTAGTACATTACTTTTGCTTTAATTACATTAATATTTGACTAGTACATTACCTTTGCTTTAAATACATTAATACTTGACTAGTACATTACTTTTACTTTAATTACATTAATATTTGACTAGTACTTTACTTTTGCTTTAATTACATTAATACTTGACTAGTACATTACTTTTGCTTTAATTACATTAATATTTGACTAATACATTACTTTTGCTTTAATTACATTAATATTTGACTAGTACATTACTTTTGCTTTAATTACATTAATATTTGACTTCAAAATTAATAGGCTTCTTCTTTACACCAATTGGCAGCAATCAATTAGGTTTGGTTAAATATGTAATTTAAAGCTAAAGGTATTTTACAGAAACCATCATTCTTCTTTCAGTCACAGTGACTGGGACCTGTGATTTTTTGACCCACCCATCTCCCAAACAGAACCAAAAACAACTTGACATACTATTTTTTTAACCAGAAGTGCAAATGCAAAATTTGGTCCAAGTCTGTGATGCTGTTGTGAGGAAACTATTTTTTTGCTTTTAGTCTAATAATCTTGACCTTTGGACCCGAAAATCAAAAGAGTTTGTCCTTACACCAAGTACAAGCCATCCACCAAGTTTGGAAGATGCTGTATAACTTTATTATGCAGAAACAATAAAGGTAAACGACAGCCAGACATCATAATATATGCTTCGTTATTGGAAACAAAATCTGCATAAACTGACGAGCTTAAAGCATGTGGAAATTTTATCACAATAATGACAGGAAATTGAATAGATGATATATAATACCTTGTAGCTGCATAAGTGAGTGACTCAGCTCTGACTGACCAAACAATTTGGCTGTCTTACCAAAGAATTTGGCTCTGACTGACCAAACAATTTGGCTGTCTGACCAAACAATTTGGCTCTTACTGACCAAACAATTTGGCTCTGTCTGACCAAACAATTTGGCTGTCTGACCAAACAATTTGGCTCTAACAGAAAAAACAATTTGGCTGTCTGATCAAACAATTTGGCTCTTACTGACCAAACAATATGGCTCTGTCTGACCAAACAATTTGGCTGTCTGATCAAACAATTTGGCTCTTACTGACCAAACAATTTGGCTCTGACTGACCAAACAATTTGGCTGTCTGATCAAACAATTTGGCTCTTACTGACCAAACAATTTGACAGTAATTCATGGCGATCTTTTCTTTAGTGTTCTTGCACAAATATTTTAAGAGCTTGTGCAAAATAGTAATGGTTTTTAAGACGATTACATTACATAATGTGGTCTTTGGTGAGGAGAAGAAACAGAAAAGGTTCCAGTTTGCATCATTCATACCTCTACTTTAATTTGAATAAAAATTATAACTTTTAAAAAAAAGCCCCCAAACACTACAAGAGCAGATATTTTTTTCAGTTTAAACTAGTATAATCATTTCCAAATGGTTTAAATTATTAAAGTGTAACCTTATGATTCACATCCAAGCGAATGACAGAATTGCATCTGTTAGAACTGGTTATTTTGGGTGTTGGAATTGCACTGAATTAAGAATTATCATAACATTTATTCTAACTGCAAAACATTATTTGCACAAAGTATGAAAAGGGTGTGGAAAATGTTATCCAATGATGCCTCCTAACCATAGACATGCAATTTAATTTGGAATTAATCACTGCATTTTAAAATGTTATCCGAAAGGTCTTCTTGCTGCTTTTTATATTGAAATATACTTGGCAAATAATGTACCAGATTCTTATTTTGAGTGCTTGGAAAACATCTCATCTAGTTACATCTTCAGTCATTCTTATTTAATGTTTATCATTCAGTTTCCATTAGTCATGTACAATGGCTAGTTTGACCTCAGATTTATTTCCAGGTTTGATTATTACTGGTTTTGGTACTCCTGTGAGATCCAGGAATTCTATGTATGGCATGTTTGTCTCACCTGTAGCATCTTTAACTGAGCTATTTGGACTTCTAAATTTTCATTATGTGCCTCTGGCATATTAAATATTTTCAGTCTGCTCTGGTGGCCAAGGGATTAGAGCATCTGCCTTGGATGCAGGAGGCTGAAGGTTTGAATCCTGGCCAAGTCATACAAAAATTTGAAACAATGATACTAACAGCTGCCTCACTAGGCGCTCAGCTATAAGAAGTTAGTGTTAGGACTAGTTGGCCTGGTGTCAGGATAATGGGACTGAGTGGGACATCAAGCTATATGTCTGCATCATGATGCCCCAGTGCTAGACATCACTATAAACTGTCACACTGCAGACATTGTAGCGATATGACTGAAAAATTGTTAAAGCTATGTTAAAAGTCTAAATCACACACACACATTTTTGAACTTATGCAATGTGCTCATGATGGCTAGATGATGACATTATATAATGTGATCTTGGAGGGCAAGAAAACCAGAAAATAACATGCAATTTTGCATCATCCAGACCTCTGTTTTATTTTGAACAAAACAGTGCAGAACTTTAAAAAATAGAAACAAAATAAACAAGGCATTGCTGGATCAACTATTTGGTCAACCTTCAGTAGTCAAAACATTACCACATGACTGATATTTGAATAAATGAATTCACAATCAAATGAAGGATGACCATATAGCATAATGTACATGTCACATGCTTATAAATTATTACATTGTAATCTTGTAGATCAATAGAAATGACTCATTTCAGGAAGTTAAATGATGCTGGAATAGTTTGATATTACATTTAGCATGTTAGACACAGGTAAGAGAATAACTGATTGCAGGTAAAACCAAATTCTAGCTTCATAAAAACCAATGCACATTTACCCAGCATTACAGAGAACTGTGTCCAACATAAAAGACAAAACAAATAATAAATCAAAATTGAAAGGGATATGGATATAAAATATAACAAGACCTATTTCAGTGTACCCATGTATTTTATTGCCATCATCTGAAAACAAAACTAGGTCTAATTTGATTTAACATAATATATTAGAAAAGTTTACATTTCTAATTAATTATAATTTAAATATTTGGTACATTTCACATGCATGGCTAAGTAACGCTTCTATAGAGAAATGCACTATCAAGAAATATCTAAAATAAAGCTATTTTCTAGCCAGAAATTTGGATTTTTAACTAATAATGTGGTTAACCAGTAGTATAAACTATAGTATTACAAAAGATCTCTTTCAAGATGACACAAACCATTTACACTTTTGCTCACATTTAAATCAGATTATTTTCTTTGAATGCAATGATACAGGAATAAATTTAAACTTTAATTTAAACTTTTTGAATGTGAAAACCATTGATACAAAATCAGATAGTATACTCCATCATTATTAGGTGGTAAATAAAAAATTTGGAGTATCGCCTTATAATGAAGTACTTCATGCATATAATTCTAATGCAGAATAATGAAATTGATCCATAACTCTCATGTAACCTGTACCGTGTTCCTAAAAAAAATCAAATGGATCCATGAAACCGTACCCAGCTGGTAACCAGTATCATGTTTCTAAAAATAGTGAAATGGGACACCATAACTAGGTTGTAGCCAGTACCATGTTACTAAAAATAATGAAATTGGATCATTGTAACATGCATTACAATGAAGGGTCTTATTGTGATGACTACTGTATTTGTTAGTTTTGTTTTTTACATCAAGATATGATGTAGGTTATGTAAAAATTTTGTTGTATCTGACCTTGTCCAAAATCACTTTTGTAAACATATTGTTTACCTTCTTTCTGGTCAAGAACATTGTGTTCGCCATGTTATTTATTATAATTTGTGCAAAAGACCTTTTAATTATAACTAAAATTTTAGCTTGTAAACATTTGCAATCTTCTGAAATCTTCAATTAGGTAATTGTGTTTTTAGAAAATGCAAATTGTGACCTAGGTCAGGTAGAGAAGTATAAAATCTTGTTTATTGGGGAAATAATTATTTATTCCTTATAAAATCTTGTTTATTTGGGAAATAATTATTTATTCCTGCAGTAACTTCAAAAGCAGAAATAAATCTTATTATTGTGTCCAGTATAACATTTGGGCTGGAATTTATTTATTCAAATTATTTCTTCACTGGAAATACAAGGTGCTCATCTAACATAATATATTCGGAAATAAAGATTTGGATTTATAGTGAAATTCAAAATAAGGATATATTTTTGGATATTATTATCATGATTAAACAAAGGACTGTCGGCACATAACTATTCAGCTATCACAGGCACATCAACACCTCCAGCATTGGATTTATTTCAGAATTCTACCAGCTGACCAGGACAACTAAAACTCATTGTTGCATAAGTGAAATTTCATGTAACAAGCCTAATTTGTAAGTGACAGAAAAAAAAACTATTTTGTGATCATTTTAATAAGCCATATTTTTGCTGGGCAAGGAGGTAGAAAATGGAATGTCTCCTTCCACCTTTACTATGCAAAATAAACTTAACACTGAAAACAAATTATGAAACAGTCAATAAATTACAAGCAAGATTAGTTAAAATTCTGAACCATATGTTATATGATTACTTGAATGTTGCACATTGTATAGCACTTTAAAAATACAAGTAAATATAATTACAATACACAAAACTAGTTCCTGAGAATAAACCAATTTTTGAAAATTTCTAGAGTAAAATCCAACTTGTACAAAAGTGCTCTTGTATTTTAAGACAAGAAAAAGTTTTTCTGATATTACATGGAAACTCCACTTAAAAATTGCAGTTGGACTGACCATTGGAGTACATATTTACTGACCAAGTTAATGAACTATATAGTATAGCCAGAATGAGCAAGAACTTGCTGAATGTAATATTAATCAAAATGTGTTATGCTACATTAGTTTTAAATATTTTTATTATTTATTTTATTTATATTTCTTTGCTTGTTATCATAATTATAACTGGATTTGACTTTTATTCAGAAAATCCAGTTCAGTTCTAGTAAACAACTATGTTGATACAATGTATATTTAGCTGACCTAATTCCTGACTTTGGTTCTGAATGTGTAAACACATGGTGAAAATCATTGGTTGTAATCAAGGTCAAGATGTTGTAAACAAACTTTTTTAAAATTCATTTCCACTCCAGGAATCATTGATTATTAGCTAAGGCTACACTAGTCTACCTGATAATTGACTTGTTGTAAGTGATCATGTGACCCATCACACAGGTCTGAAATTGCATTCTTAGTTGGGTTTAATACTCATTCTCAGTATTTTTAAGTCAGTCATAAAAACTACCTTCGGAGCTCAGAGTTATTTTGTGTTGTGACTAGTTGAGTTGAAATTGTTATTTAAAATAATTTATTTTTCCTCGAAATATACATGCTCTTCCTCAAATTCTTGGACAAAGGCATTCCTTGGAAATTATTTGCAATTCTACAGCAGGAATATTTTTCTTGAATTTCATAAAATTCAACAACTGTGAACACTTAACATAAGGCAGAATATAGAATACGTCATCACCTTCCATATTGGAATTTCATCGAGGTTCGAACTTCAATTCATTTAGGTATTTTTTTATTGATAGGACATATTTTTAAATTCCAGGATTAATTTTAGATTATATTCACAAACTTTAAGTCCTTTTTTTACCTTTTTTTTCTAGGGAAATAAATTATTTTCTTAAAACTTACAAAACTTATTGGATTTGCTCTTTTCATTGTTACTTTTTTACCAGCCTACACATAACAGTTATAGCAAGAATGATCTAAATGAATGCACTTCTTAAATGGTGGAATAAGCAAAAAATGCCAGTCAAACATACAGTAGTCATTCTATTACCTGATAATTTATATAATAATTATGATACAATTAAATACTTAAAATTAGAACATATTTAATTAGACATAAACTTTTTGTTTGCAGTATGCCAGTCAGACAATGCACATAATTAAAAATTATGATTCATTAAGCTACTCCACTTTCAGTAATAAGTACAAAGACTTGGTTAAATTTTTGTATATTTTGTAATTAAGAAAACAAAATATTAAAAATGTAAATATTATTTCATTTTTTATAAAACTTAAAATAAAATGTAAAAACTGAATTGCTTTTAAAAACCAAACATGGAATATGTACGATTTTATCAGTAATGATCCAAAATATACATAGATATCTATTCATATAACATCTCCACAGACTTAATCGTAAAATTTTCTGTTTGCATTGTTTCCAAACAAAATAGATCTAAGTTCTGGGACCATCTGCAAAAAGAAAGAAAAAATAAAATTATATTAGTTGCTTAAAAAAATTATTAATTTCTTGGTATCAAAAAATGTTAATTTGAAAGCATAATGTTTGGAATGTAGTGACATATCTCACATTCCTATATATTTGTGGAACAGTTTCTCCATGCAAGAAAATAATTCAAGAGGATTTCACTATACTTATAATATCATCAACATCTGCAAGAATTTTTCGCTCTTTTAGTACAGTACTTAAAAAACATTGAACCAGTCTATGAACAGTAGTCCTTGCTTACAACTTGTATCCTCTTGGTAATGATGTAAAAAAATCACTTTTTTTTCTGAAGTTATTGTTCAAAATCTACAGCTATACCAATGATATACCATCTTTTTGTCAAACACTGTAACTTTCTTGTTTTAACTGAAACCCATACATTGATAATGGTATCATCTTATATGTGAAATGTACATTGCAGTATGCGTGCAATGACCTTGAGGCTTTTGTAATGTGACCTCAACTAAAACAAGGTATCTTGGAGCTAGTTCCAGGCTCCGAGATAAGTCTGGGAATAGACCATTTAGTTTTACTGAATACAGAAAATTCCCAACAAATAGTTATGTCATTTTCAAACTGGCATAGAAATGAACAACGAAAAGACCCATGCACAATGTGAAATATAGTCTCCTTACAAATGCTTTGTACTAATGCACAACAAAAACAAAGAGTAGTAGGATTTACGATCATTAACATATTGGTAATTCCATAGCTGTATGATAACTTCAAAACTCGAATAAAAAAAAAACAAATGAACTACATTTGAGTTAACTTATCAAAGTAAGATGATCAGGGGTGGGGAGTGGTAGTAGTTTCCTGGATTGACTACAACTGACCCTGAGTTCTGATTGGTC